CATCGGTTTGTTTCAAGGGTCCCTGGAGCAAAAACTACACACTCAGGGCTGCAAGCTCATGAATCACAGGGATCTCTTTGCAGATGCTCAGGGGAAGCTGCTCTGGGGTCCTGTACAGGAAGAGTTGTGCCTCTCCTGAGCATGTGGCTAGCTGTGTGTGATTTTATGGAAACTGAATCACGTTTCAGTCCTTATGAGAATTCATGGGGAGTCAAATTTGTGGCCCACTTTCAGTACCTGCATAAGTCAATGTATGCACATCCATGGGACACTATTACTTTTGTTCTTTCTTGTTTTTTAACTTATGTTCCAACTCTGTTAAGTATTTCTGTCTTTTGTGTTGCTGCTGTTTTATTAGCTATCTCAGTACCTTATGAGGAATAAGGAGAGATATAAAGAAGGAAACCAAAATATAAGTATGTATCCTACCCATAACAAGGATTTTATTCATGTTGTTTGCCCCTCCCACCCCACACTGAGAGAAGTAACACTCAAAATGAAAATACAGTCTGGCTCTACTTTGAACTTGATAAATTCTCTGATGGCGTGCAAACACAGCCTCTGCACACTACCTATTCTCTGAAGACACAATCAAAACAACTGAACATTAGGAGACTGTCGATCTAAGTTTCCCAAATTCCTTTAGTCTTGCCAATCATGCATCATGAAAGCTAGAAAGCCAAATACCCTATTTTCTAGCCTTATCTTGCAAGGATATCCAGTCCTAGAGTTGGCAGATTTAGCAAATAAACATAGAGGCTACCCAGTGAACTTGAATTTCAGATAAACAACACATTTCTTAGTGTATGTATGTCCCAAATATTACTTGGGACATATTTATACTAAAAAAAGTTGTGTTGTTTATCTGAAATTTAACTGGGCATTCTGTTTCTTATCTGGCAACTCTACTCAGCTCTTATTTAAGTTTTATTTATTTTTATTCATAATCGTAAGAGTGTGTGTGTGCGTGCGTGTAAACAGTTGAAGTTGTATTTATTTTTATTCATGATTATAAGTGTGTGCACATGCGCACACACGCGTGTGCAGGGGAAAGAAAAAGAGAAGAAGCCTAGACAGTCTTCTCAAGCTGTGATCTGATCTCTTCTAGCTCTCCGGCTTGTCAAGATCTTGGGCACACCCACACAAGCCCAGTGTGTTTCAGGTTGACCTGGCCAGAGATCTGGACTCAGGGCTGGCCATATAGCTTCCAGCACCACAGCTTAGCATGTCACCATCTGCACCACCCGGCTGGACTCCCTAGCCAGTTATTACTATTAGCTATAGAGAAGAGACTATTCAGCACATTTGGGAATAATTTTATTCAGGGTAAAAAGAGGACTGAAGAAAAGGTTCACTCTTGCCATGAATGATGCGTGGCACTCTGGTAGCTATTTTTTTTTTTTTTTGGAGAGATTTTCATTGTAGGGTGCGTGCGCTCGCCAGACAGACAGAGAGAGACATAGAGACAGAATGCGAGAAATCACCCCCCAGGGGGGATGGTCACGCCACAATCCCTTCTCCTCCATTCTCCTCTCGGGATCTTGGGCACACACGCACACGCGCCCAGCGTGAGTTTTAAGCCACCGGGTCCGGGACACGAACCGCAGTCGACTATGTGGGAATCCAGCGACATAGCCATTACGCTAACTGCTGGTTCCCCTCTGGTAGCTATTTTGTGATTATGGGGCAATAAGCTGAAGATTTAAAAAAAAAAAAAAAAGTTAAGGAACACAGGGCAGAAAGCATGAACCCCAGCCCTTGACGACCTTCCTCAATCAACATTCTACTACATAGCTGAAAGCATTTAGATTCTTTTTCAAATTCATTTCTCCAACTAAGTATTCAAAAGCCTCACTAGGAACAGTAAGCCTTTAGAGAAAAGGGCCATTCTTCAACAGCATTAGGCACCCCCGCCTCTCCCTGCAAAGGCAATAAGCCAATCTGAGGAATGTGAAGAAATGAGGCAGCAGGTAGCCATGCCCTCACACAATGGTGACACTGTGACCAGTGAGCACTAAGCCAACCTGTCCTGCCACTGCTACTACACACTCGGACAGACGGGCAGGAGGCGAGGAGAGACCTGCAATGTAGCAGTCAAAACCACAGGCTCCAGAGCCAGCTTGCCTGGTTTCTGGTCCAGTTCTATCACTTACTGAATGTGTGACCTTGGACAAATCACAAAATTTCCATGTACACTTATTTCCTCATCTTCAAAATGAGGATAAAAACAGACCCTGACATTGTGTTATTCCAACAATGACTTCACACAATTAGAAACCCAAATGTGGGGTCGTCAAAAAAATCATGATGCAAGGCCAGCAGGTGGCATGGTGGTTAAGGGCTCTGGACTCCTACATGGCCGGCCATAGTTCGAGTCTCAGACTTAGTGGCTAGCTTTCTTTCTCTTTTTCTCTCTCGCTCTGTCCCTCTCTGTTCAAATTAAAATAAGAGAGAGAAAGAGAGAAAGAAAGAGAGAAAGAGAGAGAGAAAGAAAGAAAAGAAAGAGAAGAAAGGAAGAAGGAAGAAAGAACGGACGAAAGAAAGAAAAAAATTCTTAAAAAAAAAAAGTCATGATGCATTTTTGCATAGAAAAATACGTCATGGATTTTCTGGTGATCCAATATATATATATCACTTTGTGATCACAGAAGGCACAAGTACACAGGCATGCACTCACACATGCTGATCCAACTGCCCAGGGCACTGTGGTATTACAATATGTATTTTTCAGTTTGTCCCAATGATTCTGGTTCAGAAGTATTTGGCCTTTTGTCCTCGGTTCCTGGAGCAACTCTGGAGCAGTTTCAGAGAGAAAAAGGTAAAAGATGATCTGATCTCCTGCCCTCTTTTCACCTACCCAGGGCAGGTCACAGAAACTCTAACCTTCTCCCATCTTTAAGGCCTTCATTCCAGAAGGTCTTGCCCCATATCCAGGCAGGGGGAAGGAATTCCCTCATGGACGCCAAAAATCTGAACAGGGCTTGCTAGGTTTCCCTGCAAGTCTATTAGCATATCTCAAGCCTATGCAATGAAGTCTCCAATAAGGACCTGGAAGGACAGGGTTAAAGGAGCTTCCTGACAGGCTGAATACGTGAGGCTCCTGGAGGGCTGCATGCCAGGAGGGCATGGAAGCGCCACATCCTTCCATACCAGCCTTGTCCTCCGCATCTCTTCCTCTGTACCTTTTGTGATATCCTTTATAATAAACAGTTAATGGTATTTCCCTGAGTTCTATGAGCCCCTCCAGCAAATTAATGAAACCCTAGTTGGGGAGAGGATCCTGGGAACCCCAATTTATAGCGAGTAGGTAAGAAGCACAGGAAGAACAATCTGGGACTTGAGACTGGCATAAGAGGGGGAGGGGCAGTCTTGGGAACTGAGCCCTCAGCCATGGGATCCGACCTAACTCCAAGTAGTGTCAGAATTGAATCGGATTAGATGACGACCATATGAAGTCTGCTGAAGAACTGATTACTCTCTTGCTGGTGGGGAAAATTTCAGTACCTTCTGGGATCTTAGAAGCGATCTGTGTTGAGAGAAAGGGAAAAGTAGTGCATTTTTTTAACCGTAGGGATCCTGCCTCACCTCTTGGTGTGACCTTCCTCAGGACAGCTTCCCTTACCAGCCTAAACAGATAACCTGCTATTGTTTGGTGAATCCATGGCTTTCCTGGCTGCCAGGCATATTTAACAATTCTCCTCCAGAATGGAATGGAAGGAAGCTCCTTAAGGGTGTATGTTGTATGCGTCTTGCTTACACTCTAAGTGCTTATTTTTATTTTTTTGGAGGAGTTTTTGCTATAGGGTATGTGCACTCGCCAGAAAGACAGAGAGAGCCAGAAATTGACAAATCATTCCCCAGGGGGATGGTCATGCCACAATGGAGGAGAATGGATTGAGGTGTGGCCATATTCCCTTGGGGGTGATTTCTCACTTTGCCTCTCTCTGTTTCTATCTCTCTCTGGCAAGTGCACACACCCTGTGTGGGGGAAAAAAACCAAAACCTTAATAATAAAAACAGCAACGAAAACAATTATAGACCATGACCAAGTAGAATTAGACTTGGAATGGTTCAATACAAATATCAATGTAGGGTGGCCCCATAGCACAGTGGATAAGTGCTGGGCAGAGGGAGCTGGATTCCACATGGCCGACCATAATTCAAATCCTAGCTCTGGTATGAACAAGCCTTATGTTTCTGAATTGTGCATAATCACTCTGGGGTTCCTCCTAATCTCTGTCATAACTAATAGTTTCCTACTGCTGCTGTAGTAAATTACTACAAAATCAGTGGCTTAAAGCTCCACAAATTTATCCTTTAGCAGTTCTGGAGGTCAGAAAGCTGAAGGCCAAGCTCTGGTGGCATGCACCTGTGGTTCCAGGAACTTGGGAGACCGAGGCAAGAAGACTATGACATAGTAGACCCTGTTCAAAAAAATAAAAAGTCTGGAAGCATTTTTCACTAGGCTAAAGTCAAAGTGTTGGCAAGGCTGGTTAGTTCTGCAGGCTCTGAGGAGAGGCTCGGTCCTTTTGCCCTTTCAGTATTGAGTGGCTACCTATATTCATTATCTTTTGGCTCAGTCCTCCATCCTCTGCTTCCATCATCATACCACCTTCTCCTCTGACTCTTCCTCTGCCTCTCTAATAAGGACCCTTGTGATTAACTACATCAGCCACTCCTTAATCATAGTTTCAGGTCATGCAGCCTGCCAGAATAACCACAGTGAGAGAGGCAATTAAGTAGGTTAGTCTGGCAAGAGCAGACATGGGAGCCAGAGGAAATTTCAAGTCCCTGATGGAGGCTGAGGGTCAAGTGCCCCGTATAACAGCAGGCGCCACACCAGAGTATGGAGGGGCATCAGTCCCAAAAAGGAACAAGGTCATGAGCTGAGTGACTCACAGGGATTAAGTCAAGGTAAAGGCTTTAGGAACCTGGGCTTCAGCTGACACAAAGGTAAACCTAATCACCCTCTGGATTGCAGAACGAGGCAGACACACAGGCAATTGGCAACTGAGATTTATTGAAACAATGTTAAATCAACAGGAGCAGAAACTGGTACTAACCACCTTAGTAACCGAGGTTTCTGAGCGCAGACGAGACTGGTAGACGAGGACTCCCCACCATTCCCCACCACTCGGGAAGCTCAGTGACTCTCCTCCAGGAAGGCTGGTGGCTCTATCTTCTGGCTCAGCATGAACCTTTGACAGGTTAATAAGTTATCTCCCTTAAACCTGGGGGGAGGAAACACAGATGCTGCTGAGACTCAGAAAACAAATGGAGAGAGCTGCCACGGTGTGATACTGCGGCAGGCCGGTGACTGGTTCTGGGGCCCCGGCCTCACAGCATGGCAGTCTGCTCTCCTGTTATGTAAAAGGAGATTTCACAAGGAAAACATAGGCTGGGCAAGATCACGTTTATGGACAGTTTTAAAGGGATTAAGAAAGCTTAAATTTATGGGCTTTCTGCAGTAAATGTCAAAAACCTACCTACTCTTTAAGTGCTGAACTTTGAGCAAATGAAGAGATAATGCTTTAACACGCACACACAAGCACTGACATTCCAGTCCTCAGGTACACAGCAGGGACAACAGAAGCCCCACACATTCCAATGTGCATGTTATTCCTCTGTAAGAACTAGGGTTAGCTTAAAAGTTTGAAATACAGGGCCAGCTTGTGGCATAGTGGTTAAAGCAGCTGGACCCCACGTGGCCAGTTGAGTAGTTCGTTTCGCAGACTGGTGGCTTGTGAAACACACTGGGTACATGTGCGTGTGTGCCCCAAATCCCAAAAGGAGGGAGAAATGGAGGAGAAGGGATTGTGGCATGACCATCCTCCTGGGGAGGGTGTGTGTGTGTGTGCTTTTTCTCTCCCTCCCTCCAGTGAGCACACACACTCTCTGGCAAAATTAAACACACACACATATTAGAAATAACTTACATATCCAAAATAATGGGAAAGTTAAATTCAGACATAGTTAATAGGAATTAATTATCATAAAGTCACCAAAATTGTGCTGAGTTTTTAACAGCAAGGGAAAAATGCTAGCTATAATATAAAGTTGAAGAAATTAGGAATCAAAGTTACATAAATATATAAATTCAACTCTGTTAAAGTTAAAATAGTATCTAAGCAGAAAGTTGAAACTATATAACTAGAGGTTATCTCTGAGTGATGGGCATATAGGTGAATTTTCTTTGCTATATATTTTAGAAGCTTCCAAGCTCTCCACTAAACAGTGTTTTTATCACTGTAGGGAGGAGGGTAACAATATAAAAACATATTGATAAATGATTTTAAATAAAAAACAAATTTAAAAGAGTTTTGTGAACTGAACTACACAGCTGGGTAAATTTATAAACAACTGAAATGATAAACCCAGGGGGCAGATTAACCGTCTCCCGTCAACCTAGAATGCTCACACAGGGGAAACTTCTTGCCGTGGTCATGTTCTCTGCATGAGCTGCTTGCCTGGGGTCCTATTATTCAGATGGCATCTGTAGGGAGTTTGAAAGGCATCCACTACATTAAAGGCCAGAACTGGGATCCAACATGGTCTGCACTGGTCTAGAGAGATACTCAAGGAACACCCACTGGGAGAACAAGGCCAGCGTTGGGCAGTCATTAGGAGGAGCTTGCTTGAGACCAAAGTAACAAGAAACTGAGAGCTGGATCCATGTTCTCCCCGTGGCCCTACTCTGCCACGGCCAACAAACTGTGCCTGAATTATAAAAGAGAAGAGGAGGAGCACACCGATGCTGCCTGAGTATGTTAGACAGAATGATCTGTGTGTTCAATAACTAGTTAACCTGGCAGTAAATTGATTAAAAAAATATAAACATTGGTTACTTTTTTTTCTTCCTTTAAAGTGAGAAAGCACTCCCTGGGGGAGATGGCTGCACTCTACACTGCAGACCCTTCTCCTCCATTCACCTCTCAGAATTCTGGGCACATACACACATAACGCCTAGCCATGTTTCTCAAGCCGCCAGGTACAGGACTTGAGCTGCGCAGCTGGCCGTGTGACATCCAATCAATTTAAATGCCACAACACTGGGCTGGCCCCAACTCTCAAGGTCTTTTACCCTCCAACTGTGGAAAATACATGCAGGATTTGCAAGGACTGTTTGTTTTGGGAAACGTAGTTTGCTTAAACAGCTCTCTCTTTCTGAGCTATAAAAACAGAAGATGTAACAGCAAATTCTTTGTATACACACATGGATGTGTATACGTATATATGATCCTTTAATTCTTTCTAGACCTCACGTTCTAGGTATGTCCTTCACTCTTTGGAGAAACAAATTTCCCGATTTCCAGGTGGACACAACCAGAGTAAGGTCACACACCTAGTTCACTCCCTCCTTTGGTTGCCCAGCACAGGCAGTAATGCTGCATGAGCTGCTCAAGGAGCTCCATTTCATCCAGGAATTCAAGTGATTCTATTCTGTGGAGAGAATGAAGATTGAACATTATAAATTTATATAGTTAAACACGAAGATGATAATCCACAGTTACCAATTTGGAAAGACGTTGGGGATATACTAAGAGAAAAGAAGCCAGCTATAAAATAGTGTGTATGGTGTGGTTCTATTTTTCTTAAAAAGAAGGAAAAAAAAATTTTTTTTTAAAGGGGTTTTTTTTTTTTTTTTTTTTTTTTTTTTTTTTTGCCATAGGGACATGTGCGAGGCGAAGAGTCAGAGAGAGATAGAGGGACAGAAAATGAGAAATCACAGGTACCAGCAGTTAGCGTAATGGCTATGTTGCTGGACTTCCATGTAGTCGACTGCGGTTCGAGTCCCGGACCCAGTGGCTTAAAACTCACTCTGGGCACGTGTACGTGCGTGCCCAAGATCCCAAGAGGAGAATGGAGGAGAAGGGACTGTGGCGTGGCCATCCCCCCAGGGGGTGATTTCTCGCTCTCTGTCTCTCTGTCTCTGTCTGTCTGGCAAGCGCACATACCCTATGTCAAAAACCTCTCCAAAAAAAAAAAAGAAATCACCCCCCAGGGGACGGGCAACACTATGATCCCTTCTCCTCCATTTTCCTCTCTGGATTTCGGATACATATGCACATGCACCCGGTGTGAGTTTCAAACCACCAGGTCCAGGACTCAAACCATGGTCAGTCATGAGGAAGTCCAGCACCTTAACCACTACTCCACCTGTTGGCCCCCAAAAATGTCATAAATGAAGTCAAAAGACAAAGAACAAACTAGGAAAATATATTTATAATGAAAATGACACAGGGTTCCTTGCGATATAAAGGATCTCCTAGCTATATGAAGGGTTGTTAAACTGGGGACCAGTCCATAACATGGTGGTTAACGCTGCTGGATTCTACATGGCCAGCTGCACAGTTTAAGTCCTAGAACCCGATGGCTTGAAAAACACTTGAGGCACATGTGTGTACGTGCCCAAAATCCTGAAAGGGAAAAAAAGGGGTTGCACTGCTAACATCCCACATTGAGGGGAGGTGAAATGGGGGCTCTCTCTCCCACTTTCCTCCTCTCTTTGTCTCTTTCCGCCTCACTCTGGTGAATGCACATGCCCTCTAGCAAATTTTTTTTCAAAGTTTTTTTTTTTTAATGAAAGAAAAAGAGTTGTAAATTTCAATAAGAAAAACTTTTCATGTTAATTATAAAAATGGGAAAAAGACAAGTTCGCCATGAAATAAAAACAAGAGGTTTTTTTTTTAATCTCATTTATTAGAAAAGAAACATAAATTAAAACACAAGGTATTTTTTCAACTCTAAGACTGACAAAGATTAGAAAGGCTGATACAAGCTAGGCGTTGGGAGTGCTCCTGTAAGCCCAGCTATTTGGGAGGCTGAGGTAGGTGAGCTGTGAGTTCCAGGCCAGCTTGGGGAACACAGTGAGACCTTGCCTCTTAAAACAAGCCTCTCTTGGGACCAGCAGTTAGCGTAATGGCTATGTCGCTGGACTCCCACGTAGTCGACCGTGGTTTGTGTCCCGGACCCAGAGGCTTAAAACTCACGCCGGGCGTGTGTGCGTGCATGCCCAAGATCCCAAGAGGAGAATGGAGGAGAAGGGATTGTGGTGTGGCCATCCCCCCAGGGGTGATTTCTCACTTTCCCTCGCACTGTCTCTGTCTCTCTCCAGTGGACACATGTGCCCTAAGACAAAAACCTATAAAAAACAAAAAAAAAAAAAAAGCCTCTCTTAAAAAAAAAAGACATGAGAAAAAAGATGTTCCCTGAATTATGTAGGATTATAGAACAGTAACACCTAGAGGACAGTTTGGGTTGTTTTTTTTTTTGTTTTTTATAGGTTTTTGTCTTAGGGCACATGTGTCCACTGGAGAGAGACAGAGACAGTGAGAGGGAAAGTGAGAAATCACCCCTGGGGGGATGGCCACACCACAATCCCTTCTCCTCTATTCACCTCCCAGGATCTTGAGCATGCACGCGCATGTGCTTGGCATGATTTTCAAGCCACCTGATCCAAGACTTGAACTGCAATCGGCCATGTGAGAGTCCAGCGACATAACCTTTAAGCCATTTGCTGGCCCCCTAAAGGGCAGTTTTATCATCTCTAACAATGCTTAAAATACATATGTTCAACAGCATTCACCACAGCATCCTAGCTCCAATGAAGTAACAAAAAACACTGTAACAGAAGAGACACGCTGAATAAATTAAAGCATATTCAGACAGTAGGGTATTGCAGAGGCGTTTTAAAAATGGGATAGGTCTGGGCCAGCAGGTGGTGTAGAGGTTGTGGTGTGGGACTTCGACATGGCCGACCACAGGGAAAGTCCTGAACCTGGCAGCGTGAAAGTCACACCACGTGCATGCATGCTCAAAATCTGGAGAGGGGAATGGAGGAGAAGGGACTGTGGCATGCATGGCCATCTTCCCTGGGGGGTGACTTCTTACATTCTTTCTGCCTCTGTCTCCAGTGAGTGTACACAACCTATAGCGTATAAAAAAATCTCTAAAAACTGCAGTAGGTCTATATGTACTAACACAGAGTAATCTCTGAGACATATCATAAAATTTAAAAAGCAAGTTTCTTAAAAGTGATGTGCAGAATATACCACTATGTAGGTTAGGGAAAACAGGGAACACATATGCTTATATATGCACAAGCTACTTTAGGAAAACACAGAAGAAACTATAACAATACTGGCTGTCTCTTAAGAAAGAAGGTAGCAGACTGGTAATGAAGGTGGATGATGGAAAGGGTTGGGAAAAATTTTTTTTTCCCTCTACTTTATTCCATTTTAAAAAAATTATATTCATGAGACCAGCAGATGGCATAATGGGTTTGTTGCTGGACTCACGCATAGTTGACTGCGGTTCAAGTCCCAGACCTGGCAGCTTAAAATTCAAACTACATGCGTGTGTGTGTGTGTGTGTGTGTGCTCAAAATCCCAAGAGGAAAATGGAGAAGGGACTGCAGCATGGCCATCCCCCCTGGGGGCTGATTCTTGCTTTCTGTCTCTCTGGTGAGTATATGTGCCCTATAGCAAAATTCTCTTTAAAAAAAATTATATTCGGGGCCAGCAGGTGGTGTGGTGGTAATAGGTGCTGGACTCCCACATGGCCAACTATGGTTCAAATCCTGGACCTGGTGGCTTGCTTTCTCACTTTCCCTCTCTCTCTGTCTTTCTATGATCAAACTGGAAAATAATAATAATAAATAAAGTTAAATAAAATAATTCTTTTAAAAAATTATATTCATATATAACTTTCCCAAAAAAATCATCTTTTAACTTATTTCCTTTTAGAGTGACAGACAGGCACCCCTGACAGGGTCTTCAAACCACAATCCTCCCTCCAGCCCTGCAGCCAACCAGGGTCACAGGCACACCTGTGTGCTCAGGTAGACCCAGGACGTGAACCCAAAGCCTTCCTATATGACTTCCAACATCACCCAGCAGCATCCCTACTGCCTATGCACCACAGCTGGGCCCCAAGAAGCATTCCAAATGTAAGATTTTAAATAAATATGTACAGCAAGAAACATGCACAAATGTATGGAAATCATTTATTTTAAATTTTCTGTCAAAATATGCACACACTGTGGGAAAAAAGTCAGGTAATTCCCTAGAGTATACAGAAATTTTTTTAAAAAAAATCCATATCTTACTATTCATAATAGCCACTGCTAATAATCTTGCAATACCATGTGGCCATTTGCCCAGGCTACCTGTGTGTGTGAGCATGCGCACATATGTGCATATGTCTGTGCATGTTTCTGTAGCTGTATATTCACTCCTATCTGGGTATCCAGGCCTACGAACCACACCTGAAGTGAGGACAATTCATAGAGTGCTCTGGTTACTTCCCAACTAGTTTTATCAAAAGACATCCAAAACAGATTTCCTAAAACCAAGTCCTAGGGGCCAGCAGGTGGAGCAGTAGTTATGGCACTGGACTCTCATGTTGCTGACTGTGCATGGAGTCCTGGACCCTGCAGCTTGAAATTTACTCCAGGCATGTATGCATGTGTGCCAAGAATCCCAGGAGGACAGTAAAGAAGGGACTGCAGAGTGGCCATTTCCCCTGGGGGATGAGTTCTCACTTTCTGTCTCTGTCTCTCTGGCAAGTGCATGTGCACTATAGCAAAAATCTCTCTCAAAAAAAAAAGAAAAAAAAGTTCTAGAAAAAATTCAGCGGCTTCAAAAGCAGGTATGCATACTCATAATCCCGAAGGGAGAGATGGAGAGGGGACTGTAACAAGGTCATCCCCCATGGGGGGGGGGTGCTTTCTCACTTTCCCTCTTTATCTCTCTTTCTATTCTCCTGAGAGCACATGCACCTACTGGTAAAAGACTAGCACCATAATGAAGGCTCCTGGATAGTTATAAACAAGCCCAACTATCAGGTGATACCAGGAATTATGAAGCTTTTCACTAGAATGTAAGCTCCCAAGGGGAGGTATATCTTTGGGCTGATTTTAAAAACGTTATCCCCAGAAAGAGAGAGAAACACACAGAGAAAAAGCACTCCCAATGGGACATGGTCTTGCCACAATCCTCCTTTCTCCATTTTTCCCTTCCAACAGAACTTTGGGCATAGGCACACACACACCCACCAAGTTTTTCAAGCATTTGGGACTGAGACTCAAACTGTGGTCAGCCATGGGGGATGTGGCTTTCTATGTGCTCTGGGAACAGCCTTCTTTTGCCCTAATTTAATCACTGTTGTATCCCTTGTGCTTAGAAAAGTGCGTGGCACACAGCTCATCTTAAGTGGATAGACTTCTTGTTATGCTCTATAGAATCCGACAGACGCAGATATCAACTACACTGAAAAATGCACTCAGGGTGGGAATGGCTGTGCAGCCTAGACAGAAAGACCAAGGCCATTCCCCTCTCACTACCCGCCCCTGTCAAGGTCACACGTTGCTGTCTATTATAGGCCATGGCAACATGAGGTAAATGACTGCCTAGAAGCGAGCTGCTTTCTTTGTGGCTGCTGTGAGCAAGACTCCACGTATCTAGAAGTGCTACGGAAGCATTCCATTATAAATATCAGACCACGGGGTTTCCAAACAGGGCAACCAGCCTGCAGAAAAGGACACTCCTGGAAGAATCCAGGATCATCAAACTCATCACAAGGAGATGGCACTTTCTCAAAACTTTCATTGCCAATTACTGACTTATGTCAGTAATGAAAAAAAGTGAGGTTGCTAAGTGTTACTAAGTTCCATAGAGCAGCAAAGCCAAAAAATTCTTCTTTTGATCCTGAAAGAAACCAAAACCTACACAGTAGGTCTCCAAAGGCAGAACACATGTAATGGAAACATGAATTGTTAAAAAAAAAAAGAAATTAATAGCAGGCAGTACCACCACACACACAGGCACAGATGGTATTTGTAACAGGGAAATGAAAACAAAACAAAACAAGAAATGCGACACCACAGCCAAATGCCCAGCTAGGAACAATTTTAATTACTTTAAAATTACAATTACCGTAGGCTACAGATCAATTTAAATACTATATACACTTAAGCAGGCTGTGCTAACCCTCAATATTTTGATATGCAAAGATAAACACAATCTACTGTTAAGTTTTAAAAAGAGGGACCAGCAGATGGAGGAATGGTTATATCAATGGACTCTCACATAGCTGACCATGGTTCAAGTCCCAGACCTGGCAGCTTAAAACTCACACTGGGTATGCATATGTGCATGCCCAAAATCCCAAGAGGAGAATGGAGAAGGGATTGCAGCATGGCCATCCCTCATGCAGGTGATTTCACACTTTCTGCCTCTGTCTCCCAGGCAAGCTCATGTGCCCTACAGCAAAATGCTCTCTCTAAAAAAAAAAAAAAAAAACAAAAAACTATAAATAAATAAATAAATAATACATTTTAAAAAGAAGGGTGGTTTACAGACCAATAACTGTAGTATGAATCTACTCATTCAAAAAAATAGAAATCTATGTATCCATAAAAATGTCTTTTTATGGGACCAGCAGTTAGTGTAATGGCTATGTCGCTGGACTCCCACGTAGTCAACCGTGGTTCATGTCCCGAACCCGGTGGCTTAAAACTCACGCTGGGCGTATGTGCGTATGTGCCCAAGATCCTGAGAGGAGAATGGAGGAGAAGGGATTGAGGTGTGACCATCCCCCCTGGGGGTGATTTCTTGCTTTCTGTCTCTCCGTCTCTCTCTGTCTGGCGAGCGCATGTGCCCTATAGCAAAAACCTCTAAAAAAATTTTAAAAAGTAAAAATGTCTTTATATGTACATAATACACACACATACTTGTGAAAAAATATGCCCCAACTTGTAAACAACAGCTTCTCCAGAGAGGGTGACTAGAGTGGGCAATTAATTTCTACTTAATGCATTTTACATTACTTCAATTATTTTTTTAACTTAAAGCCAGTTCTGTGGTATAACAGCAATGTACTGCTCAAGAGAGGCTAGACCCCACATGGAAACTACAGTTCAAATCTTTGGCCTAATCTGTCTGAAAAACATCAGGCATGTGTGTGAGTAACTAAGATCCAATGGGCTGGAGGACGAGAGGAAGGGGCTCCTGGTATGACCAGACCCTGTGGCAGGTGCTTCTTTCTCACTTACATGTGCATACATGCACGCTCTATCATAGATGAACAAAAACAAAAACAATGGACATGTATTTCTTTTATAGTGAGGGGAAAGGTCCTCTACTCAGGAGGCTGAGGCAGAAGGATCATGACGTACTGGGGCTTTCTTTAAAACCACAAACCAAAACTGCCAGCAGACTTCTTTCTCTTAGAAGTCCTTGAGCAATGCTGATTTCTTCTCTCTCCAAAAGAGGGATTAAACAAAATTTCCCAGAGGCTGTTCTGGGAATTTTTCAGGTGTAACTGTTTATTTTAACTAAAATAATCTGTTTTGGCCTAAGCCCTATCTCAGTCAATTGCTAATGACTTACTCTTAAGCTACTCTTAAAGTTTTTGTTTCAAACCTGTATATGGAAGCTAAAAAAATGGACCTCATAGAAGTGGAGTAGAATAATGCTCACTGGAGCCTGGCAAGGGTACGGAGAGGAGGGGACAAGGAGATACTGGGCAATAGGCCCAATCATAGTTAGGCGATAAGAACTTACTGTTCTGCGAGACAGCTAGAAGGCAGGATTTTTAAAAGTGTATTTATTTATTTGTTCCATGAGTGAGAGAGACAGAACCCCCAGCAGGGCACTGGCGCTATGACCCAGCCCTGGATCATGGGCATGCACAGCCCGGTATACCCAAGGTCTCCAATGTAAACCCAGAACTCTTCCACATGGGTCAGCCTCACAGAGTATCCTGCTTTACTGTTGTGCCATTGTCCAGCCCCACAGAAGACAAGATTTTAAGTGTTCCCAACATCAAGCAGGGATAAATGTTTGAGATGATTGATATGCTAATTACCCCAATTTGATCAATAGGCACTGTATTCATGTACCAAAATATCAAGGGCCAGTCAAGTAGCGTGATTGTTAAGGCAGCTGGATTCCCCATAGCTGACTGTGCAGTTTTGAGTCCTGGACTTGGTGACTTAAAAAACATGCCGGAGGCAGAACGAGCAGGTGGTGTAATGGTTAAGTTGCTGAACTTCCATGCAGTTGACCGCAGTTCACGTCCCAGACCCAGTGGCTTCAAACTCACACTGGGTGTGCATGTACGTGCGTGCCTAAAATCCTGAGAGTAGACTGGAGAAGGGATTGCAACTGGCCATCCCTCTTGGGGGGTGATTTCTCACTTTCTGTCCCTCCATCTCTCCGGCAAGCACACATGCCCTATAGCAAAAATCTCTCGAAGAAAAAAAGAATGCTCCATGCATGTGTGCCCAAAATCCCAACAGGAAAATGGAGGAGAAGGGATTGCAGTGTGGTCATCCTCTCTGGGGAGTAATTTCTCACTTTCCCTCTCTCTCTGTGTCTCTCCAGTGAAAGTACGTGCCCTATAGCAAATTTTAAAAAAGTATTCACACTGTACCCCATAAGTATGTATAAATATTATGTGGAAATTAAGGACAATGAAGAAAAGAATACAGATGATCAGGCCTTTAATTCACGATGAACTCCGTGGACCTGACCCGGCTGTCCCTTACCTGCTCACTTCGGCTCGTGGCAACCTGCTGTACAGTTCCATCATGTCGACTGCTGAAGCTGTTTCCCAGCCGTTCGACAGGAGCCGCTCCTTCTGGAAGAGGCAGTAGAGAGACATGAAGGACCACAAGGACCGTCGTACACGTCCAAGACTCTCTTGAGCACACTGGAGTTTCTCTAGGATGACTCCTCCCTCAAAACCCACCGTGGCCCTCCCATCTTTCTTCTTGTCCTTTCCTATTTCTATATTGAACCCTCATTGTTATAATAGGGGAAAACTCACAAAAGTATATTTACAGAGAAATACAGTTTTCTAAGGGCAATGGTTTTTTAAAGCAGTCTAGTTATAACATGACATAAAAACATGTAAAAAAAAACTACCCTGTTAACATAGGGGCAGGAACAGGAAGTACTTCCAGCAAATAATTTTTTAAAAGGGATTATTACTAATTATAACTTATGATTAATATTTTAAATCTTATTATAGATTAAGGGGCATATCAATCATCTATAAAATGTAGACCATGTTTGGATCCTGATTTAAACACAACTATGCCATTTTAGTTTTTAGAGAGAGATTTTTGCTATAGGGTACATATGCTTGCTGGAGAAAGAGAGACGAAGAGACGAAAAGTGAGAAATCACTCCCTGGGACGATGGCAATGGCACAACCCCTTCTCCTCCATTCTCCTCTGGGGATTTTGAGAATGCACCCACACATGCCCGGTGTGTTTTAAGACACCAGGTCTAGGACTTGAACCACTATCAACTACATGGGAGTCCAACAACGTAGACAAACAATACTGACAAAATGTTACACCATCTGCTGGTCCCCCAACTATGAAATTTTTTTAAGAAACGAGTGGGGAAAACCAAATATGGACTAGGTAGGAGATGCTAAAAAGGAATTAAGTCAATGTGTGTGGTATAATAATGGCATTATTGTTACACTGGGAGAAGAAAGTCCTTATTGACAGGAGAGTCACATGAGATACTCAGGGGTGATATCATGTACTGTCTGGTTTTTGCCTGAAGATATTCTGACAACAACAACAAAAATACTTGGGTGAGAAATATCTGAAACAATATTGGCAAAATGTTAATTAATGAAGCTGGCTAATGGGGCTGGGTGCGCATTTCACTATTTACTCTACCTTTATGTTTGTTTAAAAATCTGCACAATAAAAAGTTAAAATAATAGAGTGAAGGAAATGTAAATCTGTATTTCTCATGCCACAATGGCAGAATTTGGATTTTCCTTGTGCCGTGAACTAGTGGCCCACATGGAGCCCAAGCTGCTCCTGTAGACAAGTACTCTACTCCGCAGGACCTCTCACGTTACGTTCTCCATGAAGGGATAATGCTCCTTCTTGCTTGGCTCTGCTCTCTGACCTGCGACTGCAATGACTTGCAGATTTCCACTCCAGCCAGGTCACACTGTCGTCTCCGCAGGTTTTCAATCATGATCTGCCCAAACCGGTCATCCATATTGACCTGGGGAAGGAAGGAGGAGGCCAGGCATCACCATAGGGTTTCACATTTTTGTTTCTTAAATATGCAAAATAAAATAAAAACTCCTCCTTCTTTTCTTTTCTTTTTTTGGGGGGGGAATTTCTTTTTTTTTTTGCTATAGGGTGTGTGTGTGCTCGCCAGAAAGACAGAGAGAGACAGAGAGACAGAAAGCGAGAAATCACCCCCCCTCCCGGGGGGGATGGCCACACCACAATCCCTTCCCCTCCTCTATTCTCCTCTTGGGATCCTGGGCACGCACTCACATGTGCCCCGTGTGAGTTTAAACCCCTGGGTCTGGGACTCGAACCATGGTTGACCATGTGGGAGTTCAGCGATACAGCCATTATGCTAACTGCTGGTCCCCCTTGCCTATCCTTTTGAATTGTTTGATTTTTATACTCTGCATGTGGTATTACTTTAAAACTAGCTCAAAAACCATATCTATGTATGTGCACAAAAGCCAGAAAACATAGTATAGTATTACAGCATATATACTATGATAGCGTCATACAGAAGCTATCAAAAGGTCATCACCTTACCAACATGTGAAATGATTCTCAGGGTTTGTGTAACAGTGCTGTCAGACAAGAGCCAATGGTATTCTCTTTTGATGGTGAATAAGATTGACATGGCACTAATACTCAGCCTGCACACTATTCATTCAGGATAGAGGTGACTGTGAGCATAACGCCATCATTTCATTGCCTGGGTTTCAATCGTAGCCTTACATTTAACTGCCTGAGGCTGAGGACAGGCTGCTTAACTCTATGCCTTAGTCCCATACTTGTGCAATCAGGATAGTAGCAGTGCCTGCCTTGCAGACTGTCATGATAATTACCTAAATTCATATATGTACAACCCAGACAGTACCTGGTACACAGTAGGCAAAATCTAAGATTTTTCCCTCATTGCTTTATTATCGTTATTGAAATAATCATCATTATCCGTGTGGTTCTATCATTTTAAACTACTAATTAGGAAATAATGTAAAGCATGTGAGCAATTAAGAGATGTCATGAAATACTGCTGATTCTGTATTTGTTAGAAAATTACTGAATCGAGGGAACCAGCAGTTAGCGTAATGGCTAAGTCGCTGGACTCCCACGTAGTCGACCGCGGTTCGTGTCCCGGACCCGGTGGCTTAAAACTCACGCCGGGCGCGTGTGCGTGCGTGCCCAGGGTCCCGAGAGGAGAATGGAGGAGAAGGGATTGCGGCGTGACCATCCCCCCTGGGGGGTGATTTCTCGCTTTCTGTCTCTATGTCTCTCTCTGTCTGTCTGGCGAGCGCACGCGCCCTACAGTGAAAATCTCTCCAAAAAAAAAAAAAAAAGAAAGAAAATTACTGAATCGAGCAAAATGTTTATTCTTCACAAGGTAAGGGCAGCAGATGAGACTTGGAACAGTTTAGAGATAGCTGGGGACAACATATTGAAAACTAGAACATCCCTAGCCTTGTTCCAAAGTGACAGGATCTCTGGTCAAAATTCACTTAATTCATCATCTCTCATAGGATGTTGAATACATGTTGTTGAACAAAAGGACTTACAAATGGGGGCCAGAGGTGGCATGGAGGTTAAGGTGGCTAGATCCCACATGGCCAACTACACGATTTGAGTCCCAGACCTAGCAGCTTGAAAAACATGCCAGGTGTGTGTGCAGGAGTACCCAAAATTCCAACAGGAGAAGGAATTGCAGCATGGCCATGCCCCCAGGGGCGATGTCTTATGTTCCCTCTGTCTCTTTCCATTGAGCATACGCACCCTTAGCAAAAACTAAATAAATAACACAAATGAAGTAAAATGGATGGAACAGCACACACTTAAAATGTGAGGACACATGGAATTTATATTCCTTAGCTGTGGGATTATGAAGACAAAGACAGATTCTGGGATTAATTCATAATAAAAGAAAAGAATGATGAGGCCAGCTCTCATTACATCCATTCACCAGGACGGAAGATTGAGTCAGAGGAATGGTCCCAAGTAAAGGGTGGCAAGGAAGAAAAAGAAGTCAATTAAGAACCAACTCTACAGGAACTTAGACCACAACAGGTGCTAGGAAGGAGACTGAAAGGCCAAGGTCTAGCCCTAGATCTATCCATAATTACATGACATTGGCCAAGTCCATTTCCTGCTCTTAGCTGTAATAAAATAAAACAGAAACTGAGATATTTTTAAAAAATCAATTCAACTAAAATGAGCAATAAAAACAGCTCCCATGTATTCAGTGCTTATCATGTGCTCACTGCTGAACAGCCTCTCATGAATTCCTGTAATAATCCAGCATTATCCCTTCAGAAATAAAGAATGGGAGCTCAGAGGGGTCCAAAGAATCACTAACGATGGCTTTGTTGTAAGTGTGTTGCATGTAATAACCCATTCACTCTTCACAGCAACCCTATGAAGTACAGACTCTTATTTTCAGGTGAGGAAACAAGTGCAGAGAGGCTATGTAACTTGTCCAAGTCACACAGCTAGAAAGGCTCCTTCTAGAGCATAGACTCCCAATCACTAGGCAATGCTGCCTAACGTAACAGAGCCATTAAGAGCTGAGGCCAGGATGTGGACCCAAGCTGCATCATTCCAGAGCTCTAAAGTCACCTTTGTGGACTATGTCAGATGAGGCAAAAGAGCAACCAGTGAGCCAAACCGGTGGTTGTAGAAATTTAAAGAGTTTACATTAAAATTCTGCATTTCTAACTACTCTCAAAAACTGGAAGTTCTAGCAACTCCAGGCTCACATGTCCACATGATAACAGCCAGAAAATGAATGGTGGCCACTGCTGTGAAAAGGACACGGGTGCTCCAGTCCCCACGGGCCCTACCACTCCACACTGTGTGCACCGGCCAACTCTTTCCATTTGTGTCACTGGCTTGCCCTTGGAGGCACTTGAGTTTGCTACCCCTACACTAATGGTAGCCAAAACCCCCTTCGTCATGTTCTATGACTCTAGGAAACAGTGACAAAATAAGAACTTGAAAAACTTTATTTATAAAGGCTAAAATAGATGTTCTAAAAATTCTGGCCCAAAGTCTGCAGGCAGTCAAGCAATTAGGAATGCTGAACTGGTGGTATTGATTAGCAAAGGGGATAAGTAAGTGGTCAGAGGCAGAAGGAAAAGAATAAGGGAACTGCATAATGAGTGCGCTTAGTGAGGGAAAGAAATCCTGGGGTCGATGCAGAACTCGACCGCTTGTAGTTCCTTTTACCTGTTCATAGTTTATGAACATGGCCGTCTCGAAACTGTTGGCAGCCCACTTTAGAAGGCTTGCAGACTGCTCTGGGGTCATGTAAACCAGCACACATTCAGTTATTAGGAGTGTCGGTAATCTTAAGAGAAGAGAAAAGGGCACATAAATATGTTTTCATCAATTCCAGCCCCTCTAATTGTACCTATGTTGCAGAACTGTCAGGATGGTTCACACCCCAGTAAAACCAGGACTGGGCCAGCCTGGCACCAGACAGCACAATAATACATGTGTGGGACCTAAAGGTAAGCAATGGACAGGCCAGCCTGTGACCTGGCAGTTACGTGAGCTGGAGGGAGGGAACATGAATAGTCTATAAAAAAAATTATTAATCAGTATGCATTCTGATTTCCCAGACCCAAACTTATAAAGTAGAAAAAGCAACAAACTTCTAAAAGAGGTATCTAAAAGCCTTAATTTTTGAAACGATGGCAGCCCACAAATTATGCAAGTCAGCTGGATGCAACTTACCAGCAACCTCCTTTTTTGGCTTGTTTGAACTATTCTTTCCCTTACCCCCAATTCTCTTCACCTTCTCCTATGAACTCTTTAGAGACATGACTACGAAGCCTGGAGAAACTCCTCTGTTTCTAGAACTCTACTGGTCTGTTCCTAGTTCACTTAACTATTTCTTCTCACAACACACTTACCCTCCTCACAGGGTCTTCTTTTCTCTGCCCCTAAATATTGATGTTTCTTGGGGCTGGTTATTATTTCTCCCACAAAACAAGTGGGTTATTTTTGTCTGTTTGTTTTATTGACAGGAGATCTTAGGACAAATACATGCTGGGAAATTAAAATAATATTATCTTTACCATACTTTCCCCTCAAATGTTCACCTTGTGCTACTCACCTCAAATATTCTTGAAAATGTCATGTTCACCTGCATAGACATGTCCCATTACATCTCCAATCTGATTTCAATCTCATCATGTTAAAGCCATATGTCTTGGGGCCAGCAGGTGGTCTGGTTGTTAAGGTGCTGGACTACCACATGGCTGACCAAGGTTCGAGTCCTAGACTTGGCTTGCTTTCTCTCTAGTGAGTGCAGAACATACTAAAGTTCTGATAATAAATTTTCAAAAGACAGTAATAAATAAATAAATAACTTCCCCTTAAAAAAATTTTTTTTAGAGACAGATTTTTGCTATAGTGCATGTGTACTCACTGGAGAGACAGAGAAAGACAGATAGAAAGCGAGAAATCACACTCTACGGCAAATGGCCATGACACAATCCCTTCTCCTTCATTCTCCTCTTGGGATTTTGGGCACGCACACAAATGCTCCCAGCATGAGTTTTGTTTTTTGTTTTTTTTTTTCAAAGAATTATTTTATTCCATTTTATTCATTCATTCATTCATTTAATTTGACCAGAGACACACACACACACACACACACACACACACACACACAGAGAGAGAGAGAGAGAGAGAGAGAGAGAGGAAAGAGAGAAAGCAAACCACCAGGTCCAGGACTTGAACCATAGTCAGCCATGTGGGAGTGTCCAGCGCCTTAACCACCATGCCACCTGCCGGTCTCCCGGCATGAATTTTTAAGCTGCCATGTTTGGGGCTTGAACCACGGACAATTATGTGGGAGTACAGCAACATAACCATTAAGCCATCTGCTGGTCCCAAAATTGTTTTTTTTTTTTAATTAAGAATATTTTATTGACTTTAGTATGCTCTTGGAGAAAACCATTCACATGTAAAAGTTTGACATTTGACAGGAGATTTATTCACACTTCATTTTATATATAATTTTTTTAAATTTTGGGATAGACATAATTTTTCATGTCAACAAGACTTTCACATGATTACAGTCACAAAATTGGCACACTATATTAAAAAATTAACTCCAACAGCTAGACAAAGAATGCAGCTTTAGGCCAATTTAAATCTCTACCTGCACTACCCTTCATACATGATCCTGGGAGTATCTGCTATGAGCAGATACTAACCAGAGGGAACCAGCAGTTAGCGTAATGGCTATGTCGCTGGACTCCCACGTAGTCAACTGCGGTTCGCATCCCGGACCCGGTGGCTTAAAACTCACACCGGGCGCGTGTGCATGCATGCCCAAGATCCCAAGAGGAGAATGGAGAAGGGACTGCGGCGTGACCATCCCCCCTGGGGGGGGTTGATTTCTCGCTTTCTGTCTCTATGTCTCTCTCTCTGTCTGGCGAGCGCACGCACCCTATAGCGAAAATCTCTCCAAAAAAAAAGAAAATTAAAAATACTAACCAGAGAATGTCTAAGGTCACAAATGATTGTTTATAAAATAAAATCTCTTTTCTTTTCTTTGGAGATAGTGTACGTGTGCTCGCCAGACAGAGAGAGAGAGACAGAGAGACAGAAAGTGAGAAATCACCCCCAAGGAGGGATGGCCATGCCGCAATCCCTCCTCCTCCATTCTCCTCTCCGGATGTGCCCAGTGTGAGTTTAAGTAACCAGGTCCGGAACTCAAACTGCAGTCGACTACTTGGGCATCCAGCGACATAGCCATTATGCCAACTGCTATTCCCTAAAACTTCTTTTCTTAGTGCTACTTTGTTTTGTATAAAAAAATATTACAAATAAAAATGAGTGCTATCCACGGTGCTCATTTCGAAATCACACATGATACACAGGTTCAAGCCATTTGTTTCTCTCACATGGAGACAGCGCGACGCCCTGTGTGAGGACGACTCACTGACAATGTCCCTTGCCCACCACGACCAGCTCAGGAATGGCAGACTGCCTACTACGCTGACTGACTACACATGAGAGTGAGTTCAAACAGCTCAGGTATTGGATACACTCTTAATTTGGCTCTATTCGACACTCTGAAAAACTGTTAGAGAAATAAGACAACATTGTTATGTCTTCCCGATACAAGAAATTTGTCTAAAAATCTGTGATTATACAAAACAGATTTGCCTTTTACGAAGTAATGGCTAATTTTTTCATGGTTGGATAATTCTAATTTTAACTCAAACCCTCTCTTCCCGGAGGGTGGAGGAGAGGTTAAGTACCACCGGGTCTAGTCTACAATCACAGGGCTGTTTCCCAGAGGGCAGAGCGTGACGGCAATCTGTCAAACTAATAGCTTCCATTCTTGCGATTATGTAAATTTTAAAGAGAAGTCTCTCGTAAGCTATATACAGCAGTTTCTATTTCAGTGTTTCTTTTTCACTTGATATACAATTAAAATTAATTCGCAACAAATACTTGTCACAGAAATCTATGCAGGCACGTATAAATCCTACGGCTTTACTGGAGGGGTGAGGTCTTCAGTGGGATCACGATTCTGGATTCCGTTTCCTGAACAGGTGGGACCATGTAATAGACCAGGTCTTCCCAGCCATGTTATGCCACGCTGCATTCCGTATGTCTTCCCGGGTCTGACGATCCCTGTAAACCCAAAGCTGGTACACTGTAGACAGCGGCCCATCTGAGAGAAGAACCCGCCCCTGCTTCATTACTGTCCTGCCTGAAGCGAACAGCACAAGCCCAGGAACTGGCCCATTCGATCATGGCTCCTGGCCGGAGCTGGTGAGACCTGAGCTCATATACATTCGGTCCTGACCATGCGACGGGCTCATTCCAGAAACTGAACACCAGGAGCAGCTGATTCTTTCTGGAGAGAAGCGTGTTGCTCCTTGCTTTACGAAATCCTGTAAATTCCTGATTTTCTTTGAGTTTATTCATGAACTCTGTGAGGGCTGGATGGCCTCCTTCTTACCTCCAGAGGTGGACAGCTTGATCTTGCTCACCATACCGCGTGGTCCAAGTCCCCACCAACTACAAAGATTATCTTCATTAATCTTTGGCAACACCCCTTGACAAATTTTGTTGTATGCTTCTCAGCATTCCAGTTTAACATCATGAAACTAATTTGTACAAACTGCTTGTTTCCTTTTTGGGCTGGAGATTAGAGTGAGCATCTTTCCTTGGATCAACTTTCCAGACAAGTAAGGATTTTAACCAGCTGTCTTCTCGAGGTCTGTTAATGGAAGATGTCAACCTCTGGAGCCCGGGCAGGAGGCTGCAGGGAGCCGCCAGCCCAGGCTGCTCCATGGGTGTGCAGCACTCACACCACCATCTTGCTCTGGTACCTCCGGTCCCATAATTCTTAAAAATATATATATATATATGCATACATCTCACCCACTCTTCTTCCCAGAGGTGCCCACTTTCAACAATTTGGTGTGTTAGGCCACCACGGCTCCAAAGTGCAGCCATGAAGCACTATGCTGAGAGAGACAAATCTCCTAGGGCTGCCCAGGATTCAAGTCCTGGCCATGGTGACTTACATGCTGGGCACACATACGTGCCTGGGATCCTGATAGAATGGAGAATTAGAGGAAAAATTATTGCGTTGTGACTGGCCCCACCAGAAGGTGCTTCCTCTCTCTCTCTCTCTGTCTCTCTCTCTCATGTGTATCCTTTGACATAAAAAATAAAAATAAAAAGACTTTGAATCCTATTAGTCCATTTTTAAAACACTTGTGTAAGTTATGTACATAATCATGAAGATACAGCACATGAAAGGGTTGATTTTACACATTTGGTACCACAGTGTGTGTATTAATATCATTCTGTGGGACCAGCAGTTGGCATAATGGTTATGTCACTGGACTCCCATGTAGTAAACATGGTTCAAGTCCCAGGCACAGTGGCATAAACTCATGCCAGGTGCGTGTGCGTGCATGCCCAAGATCCTGAGAGAAGAATGGAGGAGAAGGGACTGCAGTATGGTCACCCCCCTGGGGGATGATTTCTTGCTTTTTGTCTCTCTGTCTCTCTCTGGCTTTCTGGCAAGTGCATGTGCCCTATAGCAAAAACTTCTCAAAAAAAAAAATATATATATATATTTATATATTATTCTGCAAACTGAGGTTGTCTTATTCTTTATTGTCCAGAGTCTGCTTATTTTTAACACCTATTATGCATGAATTCATAGGAAATAGGTACCAGAAGCTCAGGCTCCTTTCCATTGGTTCTCACAAAGTGTACTTCTCTGGGTGGAGCAGGCTGGTGCTTCAGTTGAAACCAGGTACCTTTCTCATTGGCTTCCTTTTTCTGGTCATTTTCCTTCACACGTTTTAGGAAGCTATCTCTGGTCTTACAATGTTTAATATGCTCAATATGCACATTAATTCTCTTGGCAAGAATCTTGCCCTTATTTGTTTATAACAATGCCAACAGAATGCTGGGTAACACCATGGACTCTTCCAGTTTCCCTGTGGAGCATTCCTTTTTGAACAGTACCCATTCCCTTGACGTCTACAGTATCACATTTCTTGTAGATTCACATGTATGTTGCCAAAGGAACCACTCTGTTTTTTAAAAGGCCTAGAGAACATATACGGGGTGC